GATTATTTCGAAATTTTTGCACTATACAAATTCTTTCGAAATATTTCGCATCTATAATTTTGCTGATATTATACCAGCCAGTTTTTGTAGATACTGGTTGAACCTTTTGTGTACTACTTCTTTGTATTATTCTATAACCTTAACAGGTATACTAAACACATGATTGCTTCTTAAGTTTGTATTTGTTTGTTTATCTGCATAATTATGCATCTGTTTGTTTATTTCCTATTATGCTTATAGTTCATTCTGCCTTAATTTTCATGTCACATGTACAATCTGCAATACAGGGTTTCTGTGTTTTTCTGTTTTTTCTCAAAAAAATTTCTAAAAAGACAAGAAGAACTCGAAAAGGCTATCTCTAGGCTGTTATAGTGCTGTTTTTTTATTTTACTATTCTAACAAACTATAACTAATTTCTTATTAGCTTTCTTTTTACTTAGTTGACTTTTACACTTTGTCTTGACAGTTTTTGTGTTTTCTATAATTTTCTTTCTATTCCAAATTTGGTCATGAGAATTAGCAAAGAGAGTTTTGATAATATTTTTAATAAAAACCATTTTACAAATATTTTGTTAAATATTTTTTTTTATTATTATTATAAAAAATCTTTTTAGTTAAATAAAAAATTCTTATTAAAATTAATATTTCTAAAACAAATAATTTTAATTCTTATAACTAATGCATAAACTAATTATATAAATTTATTTTATTTATTAAACTCTTATTTATTTTTAATAATTTATATAATTAAATAATCTTAAATTATGTTTTATAATTTTTAATTGCATTAATAAGTTCTAGTTACAAATTAGTTTTATGTTTTTTTTGAAATATAAATTCTTTTAAATTTAAATTAAGTTTTTCTTTAACAGTGTCTCTTTTTAAAATATTTAGTTTAACTCTATTTTAGAACTCTTCTATATAATTATTGTAATTCTGTTTCAAAATTAAACTTTTATTTGACTTCTTGTAATTTATTTTTTGATATTTAAACCTTATATTTATTTTTTTGAGTCTATTATATGTTCTTCATCTATTACTGTAAATAGTTAAATTAAGCTTCATATGTATTTTTATAATTTTTTTTAAAGTATTCACATTTCTATCTTTTACTATTTTAAAAAAACATTTTCTTAATTTGGTTTTTTCAACAACTGCAACTATTCACTAATCTTCATTTAATCAAAATTTTAACTTATCAATCTCAATAATAACTTTTTCTTCTCATATTTCTTTATTATTTTTTATTAAACTATTTTTCAAAACAAGTTTATAAATCTTGTTACAATTCTTTACTCATGTTCTGTAAATAATCTGATTATTGTATATTTTGCTTTAATTAGCTAAAGAAATTTAATTAAAAAAATCTTATTATATTTTAGTTTATGTTTATAAAAAATTTTATTTAAATAAACTGAATTTGTTTCTTTTAAACAATTTGTATAATAAAAAATTTTTTGAATTAAAATAAAATATAATATTTAGTATTTGCAATACAAATATTTCTTTGGTTTTTTTAAAATTTTTCTTTAAAAAAAATTGTACATATTTTATTTATTAAGCAAAATATTAATTAATTTGTAAAAACATATAAATTTTATTTTTTTTCTAAAAATATGTGATTTTAATCAAAATTTTCTTTTTAATTAAATATTTTAAAAATTTTTGTACTTTATTTTTTTAATAAATATTATTTAATTTTTTTGTTCTTATTAAATTATTTTTAATTTATTTTTATAATATAATTTTAGAAAAGTAAGATTTTTTTTTTTTTACTTTTTGACTAGTTTTGCTGAGATCTTTCAGCAGTCCTTGCATTTTTCAAACTAGTGTTTTCAATATACTCCTGGATCTGAATCTCGACCTCCTCTAGTTCATACTTTTAAACTTTCCAGAAGTGACTATCACACCAATCTTTGCTAATATCAGAAGTCTTTACCAAGCTTTATCAAGAACTAGCTATCACTATGAGTTTATGTATTATCTCTTATTGTCAGACTTTCAGCCTCATATTATGTCTCATGACTTCAGTTATTTCAAATTGGGTTCTAATTTGTGTTCATCACCAGGTGGCTTCTCAATCGCAAGTCACTTGCCTTTTCTAGAAATAAGTCCATCTGATAATGTTTTGGGTTCCTGATGCTATAGTGTTGCAGTTTCTTATTTTAGAAATGCATCTCTATAATTGTCATCACTAGAATTGGAACTGACAACCTTGTGATTTGTGACCTCAGAGCATAACTGCTATGCTATTGACCCTAGAGGTCAAAAGTGAGATTTAAATATTTTTTTTATATTATATTTATATGTATTTTCATTTGGCAATATTATAAATAAAAATACAAATTAGAAACAATCTTATAATATTATATTTAAAACAAAATAAATAAAAACTAATCTACTAATTTTATAATTTTTTTTCAAACTATAAATACTAATCCTTTTATTACTAAATGGTTCTTATAAGACTACTTATTAACTACTTGTTTTAACTAATTTTTAGATAATTACTTAAAGGTTTTTTTTAACTTATTTTAGTTAAAATTTAATTTAAAATAATTAACTATAGTACTTATAGAAAATAAAAAGTATAATATCATATTGAATGCCTTTTATAATACAAATATAGTTTAAAATCTTTAAAATTTAGAATACCTAATTTTATTTGTAATAATGTTATATGTATTTGAACATTTTTATAATAATAATAGAGAATTGCTATTTTCACCTCCTATTTTTGCTAATACCACCCTTCAAAATACATAAAAGTGTTTCAGAAAAGGATATTATTATTAAGTAAACCTCCCTTTTGGTATTAATTAAAGTTGTTCATTAGGTCTTTTTGGTTCTAATATTAATAAAATCACTAAGTTTGGACTAATGGTTCTTGCAATATTTATATCTGAAGGTTATAATCTTTAATCTACTTTTAAAAAAAACTTTCTGTCTGATTTTAATAATTTTACTATCATTAGAACTGGAAAGGTCTAATGAACAACTTTAATTAATACCAAAAAAGAAGTTTACTTAATAATAATATCTCTTCTGAAGCACTTTTATATATTTTAAAGGTGGTATTAGCAAAAATAAGAGGTGGAAATAGCAACTCTTTAATAATAATAATAATAATTATAATATTATAATTTTTTTAAAAATATCAATTTATTTTATTTTCATTAATAGTTGTTTATATGTCTTTTTTATAAAAAAATTTTATTATAATTTCTATATATAATCTTAATGAAATAATTATGTTTACCTTTTTATTAATAGTTTTTATATTGTAATTTCTATATTGTTCTTAATAATTTTTATTATTTTACTAATTGTAACTTCAATTTTTTAACTTTTTTAACCAAAACTTTTATTGTTTAATTTCTCTTTATAGTGAATTTACTACAAAAATCATATAATATAATTTACTATTTTTCTACATTATTTTATTAAACTACTATTTTTTACCTTTTACTTTTTGTTTTTCAAAAAGCAAATACAATTAACTCAATTGTTTTACAATTTATACAACACTTTAAGTTACTTATTTTGTTTATTAAACAAATCTAATACAAATATCAAATGACTCAAAATAATTCAAATAATATTATTAAAGTATAACATAAAAACTTTATTTTTTTAGTACATTTTACTGAGTTAACAAGAGATAATCTATTTGAGCTTTCGAAAAAAATGATCAATTGAATCGCTCGTGTAACGATCTACAAATTTCGGTGCATACTCGGGAAGTGGTATTGTTACATCGCAAAAATATCGATTTTTCCTATAATTTGGCCTAAAAATATTTTTCACTGTCTCTGTACTGGGGTAGTTTACATCACTTGTTATGAACATCTGATCTTGAAATCTGGTTGGGCAATGAAATAATCTCAATTCTGGCCACGTTAACATAACTCCCCTCACTTAATATAAAAATCATATTGACTGTTCAAAAAAAAAATTTTTAACCAATCAAAATCTCATGTTTTTTACCCCCGTTTAGACTTTCACCCTGTCGTGTTACGTATCATTAAAGAATTCCTTACTAAGTTTTAACACTTGTGCATGAGAATACATTAATAATATACATTAATAATGAATACATATTATACGTATCCTTTGGTTGCTTATTTTTCAAGCTTAATAATGTTAAATACGTAAAATGAGTACGTAACGTAAATAAAAACCATAACGATTGTCGTTATATATTTAACGTTAAGTTCCTAATAAATTTGGGCAATATTTATAATTGTAATGATCGACAGAACAGGTGTTTGAATGACATAATATTAACGCAGATCTTAACGTTAACGTAACGTCATTAGTAATACGTAACAGTGGGCTGATTTTATGAACTGATTTTGTGTGAACATTTTAGTATCAGGGCCATATGTCCAATATTTATTATAAAAGCATCGTCAATCTAACCTAACACTATCATAAAAACATCTTCAATCTAACATAACGCATTTTAGTAGTTTTTTATCTATTCTGTGAGAAAAATGTCTAATATTGCTGAAACCACTATGACCCAAGAGCAAGCCTCATCCATAACCACTGATACTGTCCTCACGAGTACCCAGGACGCAGAATCGCAAAATCCAATTACTCGTGTGGTTGTAATTGCCATTGATCAATCCGAGCATAGTCAGTATGCATTTGATTGGGCGGTTAAAAATTTTATAAGAAAAGATAGTGATCTGGTAAACATTATATGCATAAAACTGATTAAATTGTCTGGCTATTTGCAAAAATTAATATTTTATTTATTTATAATAATCAAGGTCGTATTGGTTAATGTACGACCGATTCCATCTGTTCCAGGACCATATGGTATGTTTTATATAATAATAACGTTTTTATTTTTAATCTTATTTTGGCTAACTTTTTTTCAGCTATCGGTGCTAGTTACATGGACTTCACTGAAGTTGTGACGAGTTTAGAAGAACAGGTGAGCTTGTGGTGCACAAGATATTCATTGTATTACCATGTTCACATGAAAATTTTAAATTTCGAATTACTATAGCATCGCGTTAGTAGTCACGCTCTTCTACAAGAATTTGCAGCAAAACTAAAAAGTCACGATGTACGTATAATTATATATTGCAAACTTGGTTTTGAAATCCATCTAATTCGTCAATATTACAGTTTGCATGCAAAGCCATAGCTATGCGAGGAGATGCACGTGATGAAATCGTTCGTAAGGTTTCTGAATTAAACGCAGATGCCCTAGTAGTTGGATCTCGTGGTTTAGGTGCTTTGAAACGGTTAGTATGAGTATTATTAATATCTGGCGTTAAAAACCTCGTTTCAATTATATTAAACATTAATAATGCTTTTATATAATAGTACATTTCTTGGTTCTGTGAGTGATTACTGTAGTCATCATTGTGATTGCACCGTTGTCATTGTTAAACATAGTTAAAATATCAATTACAAATGTGGTTTTGTGTTTTAATCTTGCTTTATTATTAAAATTTTATCTTATAATACAATAAATTGTATCATTATGAACAATTTTTGCCAGATATACACATTTTATTGGTTTATTAAAATATATTGATATTTAATTTCCTATTTACAGAACTTTTTTGTATTACATATTTTGATTAAGAAATTTTTTTTTTGGCATGCTTAATATTTAAATCAGAAAAAATTTTATTAAATTAAGTATGAAATATTATTTTTACTAAATTAAATTCAATTATTCTATATAATAAATAAAAATTGATATTATTATGTTTCATTTTTGCAAATGTTATATTTATATAATCTAGCTATTTTTAACCTATTTATATGGTTGTCAATTTTTTTAATTTTAATTATTATTATTTATATTGGATATTATACAAATAAAAATTATATAAACTTTTAAAGTTTTGGTTTAATTTTAAGATCTAATTGGCTATTTATTATTATACAGATTATATATATAACAAACTTAGTATAATTTAAATTTTTTAAATTTTTTTTATTAAACCTTTTTTTTTGATATTAAGGTGAGGTTTTATTAAAACTTACTTTATTATTGTATATATATATATTTAAGATTATTATATAAATATTATAATATTTTTAAATTATATAGCAATAATAAAGTTGCTAATTTTAATATTATATTTATTATTTTAGTTATATATAATTTTTTAAAATAAAATTGCCTATTTTGAACTTTTACATTTTACTTTTAAAAATTTTTATTCGCACATGATAATTATTTTTCATATAATATTAGAATGACTAATTTTATTAATTTAAAAGTTTTTTAAAACTTATAGCAATGTTTTTTTAATAACTCTTAATAAATTCAATAACTTTTTTATTTTTATTTTATAGTTTGGTAAAATTAAAATAAAAAAGTTCATTAAATTTTGTTTGGTAGTTATCAAAAATGCATTATTAAAAGTTTAAAAAACAAACGAAAATATTAGTAAAATTGAATAAAATTTTTTTTCTTTAAACTTTAAACAAAAATTTTTTTAACAATTATTTAAATTTGATAAAAATTTTTTTATTTTGATTTTATATAACATTAAAATAAAAATTTCAATCAAATTTGAATAGTAAGTTTTTAAAAAATTTTTATTAAAGTTAAAAAATCTGTTTATAGTTTTTCTTTTATAACATTAAAACTTTGAATAAAGATTACTTGGTACTTTTCTAATTAAATTTAATTAATTTTTTTATTTTAATTCTATATTTTACAAAATTAAAATAAAAAAAGTTAATCAAATTTGATTAAGTAATTGTTAAATAATCTTTATTTAAAGATTTAATATTTTAAAAAAAGCTATAATTAGATTTTTTTAATCTTTTTTAATAAATATTTCTTAAAAACCTGCTATTTAATTTAATTAAATTTTTAGTTGTTTTAAATTTTTTAAATATATAAGATCAAATAAAAAATTTTTTATTAAATTTAAAGATAGGATCTTATAGATCATTTTTATATAGTAATATTTATATTTTTATCTAAATTTAATATATGCTACTAATAAAACTTTTTTAGTTTTTAATTAATTAATAAAAAATTTTTATAATATTATAAATAAAATTATTTATCTATTATAGTAAAATTTTGAAATATTATATTATTTTAAAAAAATATATTTGTATATATAATAAAGTTTATTTAAATAAGTTAAAATTTATTTAGATAGCACAAAAATGAAGAATTTGATTGGTTAATTATATAAACTTATTAGTTAATTTTATTTTAGAATTTTATATTCTAATCTTTAAAAATTTATATTTTAATAAGTTTTTAATCTATTTTAATAATTTTACTATAATTAGAATCAGAAAGCTTTACTCTATAACTTTTATTTAATAATTAAAATTAGGTTACTTAATATAATTTTTTATAAAATTAAATATAAAAAAATTTACTTTTAGGTTTATATATAATTTTAAAATACTTGCTCTTATTCTTAAATAGTTGTTAAAAAATCTGATTAAAATTTAAAAAAAATTTATTTATATATATAATTATTTTATTTATATAATATATTCTGCAAAAATAATATATAATATTTTTAGTAATCTTTAATATTTTCTTTTAACTACAGTATTAGATAGCAAAAATTATATAAAATTTTTTTTTAACTCTTTGACAGTCTTGTTATTAACTTTTATTAAGATTTGTATTTACAAATTTGTACATATTTTGACTTAATTTACTGGTTCAACATCCTCTAGTTACTTTAATAAGTGTTTAAAAATAGTTTGTCACACTGATTAGAATAGTATCTAAATTTGAAGATTATATTAAACTAGTCTAAAAGACTATATGAAACTAGTTTTATATTACTTTCTATATAACTTTTAATTGAACCAAACTATGTTTTCTTTATCTTAATGTTTTTTTTTTTTTTTTTTTTTTTTTAAGGTGACCTCTTTGGTCTTTTGACTTTTATTAATCACTTATCAGTATTGTG